TTACGAGACGTTAGCAGAAGTAATCGTATAAAGAGATGCAATTATTCGAAGTAACGATAGTTTAATTATATGCAATCCGGCATTCTCTATTTATGCATCACGCGTGTACGTTACTTGAAGCCGCATTAAAGTCAAGTCCGCCAGTACTCGATCTAAAAATGGAGATCACGTAACGCATTAGCAATACACACCCGGCAGTCGCATTCTCATCGTAACGGTATTTCTTATGCACTCGTGCAGTGCAAGGATTCAGCTGATATTCAACGTTTATGGGCCGCCTTTTGTCGTCGCCGACGAACCCACGTGGTTCTCGACGAAATGCTTAATTTGTTATTTTCGATTCCTCGAGGCATGTATTTATAGTTGCTATTCATTTACATTGAAAATCAGATAATTCTCGTTCGTGACGTTATGTAATTCAGTTGAATGCACGTTCCGACAAGTGAGAATTCAATTGAATTTTTGTCTATAATCTGCATAAACTCGAGACCGTGTACTTTACTGAATCTTGTTAATTCACATCGAAAATGAGATTATGCATCTGTGTTGTTATGCGATAACTTTACCATCAAAGTAAACAAGTACAGAAAAAACTATTCTTAAATCAATCATAATATCACGCTCAGAAAATATATATATATATATAAACAAAAAAATTGTAATTTTGCTTCAAAGATTCTTGATCTGATTGAATCCTGGTGTTGATACAAGTATTATTTTGCACTCAATTCAAGATCTGTTCACAATCAAAAATTACAATACCCAATACAAATTCAATCAAATCAAGATTAAGATTATATTTTGCTTGTATATGAACATATTATAGTTGATTTAAAAAATCTTTTTTTCTGTTATTTTTTTATGTTAAGTCTTTTTCTGAATATAAAATACATAACTTTAGACTTCAATATCACATGTGTGAAAATAAAAAGCGATTAATATAGATTTTTTTTTAACAAACGGACGATTAGCGTTTGATAAAATTTCCAAGCGATTTCCTTTCGTTCGATTCGATCGTGCTAAATTACGCTAAAGGCGGGTGATGAATCGATATGAGCGCAAACGACGCGCGTGATTCATGTCGCATGAAGAGAGAAGAAACGAGAGACAGAGAGAGAGAAAGAGAGAGAGGGGGGAGGGGGGGAGGGCAAGCTTGTCAATATCATCGGTCTTTAGAGAACGATTTCTCAGCTTCCAAGCGATATGCGGTCACGGATCGTGGTGTCTCACCGATTACAACATCGGTGATCTCATGCCGTCATCGTCGCGACGCACGGTGGTGTATCTTCTCGCCACTGCGCCGGCACACACCCACGTGCATGCGTGCACGCACGCGCGCGCGCGCGCATCACGTGACGCTGAGTTACCATCCAAATGAATCGAGATTTCGTTCTCTGTGACCGACGTTTTTATCATTATTCCTTATGTCGTGCTTCTTGCGACGTAAATGTGGCCGCCCGCTATGTTGACATTGAACGACTGATGAATATATATCTCTTTCTCTCTCTCTCTCTCTCTCTCTCTCTCTCTCTCTCGCTTTTTCTCTTTCTCACTCGTATCCGACACTACTATGTAAACTATACACGCCACACGCATCACGCATTTCGGATAGTCAACGAGAAGTGAGAATCGACGTAAGAAAGACAAGAGAAAGAGAGAGAGAAAGAGAGAGAAGAGCCAAGAACGACGGTCAGCTGATGTCACGCAGATGGGCTGGTGAGCTGCGTCGTGCTAAAAGCGGCTATGATGCCCTCCTTTATTTCCCCTCTCATCCCCCCCCCCTCTCTGCCCTGGCCATTCTCCTCTTCCCCGCTCATCTGTTTTTCTATCTGCGTCTATCTATCCACGTCAGTGATCCACGTATATCTGCATTTTCCTCTCGCGTTAATTCCTCGCGCCTCCGAGTCTCCTGTTTGAGAGAAAGAGAGAATCGAACAACGCGGAGCTCGCGGGCATACCGCGAATCACCGACGCATTCTCCCACTTCCCTCCCCCCCTCCCTTCGCGACTCTCGAGAAAATCGCGGCTGTTGCGAGATGATTCGTGTCGAAAGACTGGGCAACGCGCGCGTGTAAGATCTGATGTTTTCCATTTGGAATAAGTGTGACAATCAGCGGCGCGGCATGTTCATAGCCGATGCCTCTCGGCGTCGAATAATCGTGCCGATAAAGTATAGCGATTTGTTTCCGCACAGTGTCGCAATAATTCATCGATAAAACATCGATTCACTCGACATTTTTCCGGCAATAATTCTTTTTCCACTGTGATAGCTGTTCAAGCGGATACCTTAATTAAGACCGAAACAAATCTTTGGGGTCAACATAAAGCATAAAAAAATCAACTAATCATCTTTTATTTCATGAAAAGGAAGGATTTTGATTAGTCCATATTTCTTTTTATGTATTACGCGTTATGACTCGTTCTTGCGAATTTTACGATCGTAAAAGATTTCTCTTGAGATTTCTCAATCACAACGTACGTATCTTCGAGTCCGCGATATCGCATTCTACCTGTCTTTCCTCGGTGAATAAAAACAGCGCGTCCATTGAGAGGCTAATAATCGGCTTCTCTTCAAGATAATCGAGTGTTTTATTAGAAGAAGCGAGCTTAATGTGTAGTCATTAACTGCTATAAACGATTTACTGCGCAGCCACTGATCGATTCATTTATGACTTTAAGAACGCGTTTAATATAGGAGATATAATAGTAATTGCACTTGCTCATCGTTTATCCGCAAATTTGCTTATTTACATGAAATTTTCTCGTATCGAACGAATAAAATTATTTTACGCGATTTTATGTACGTTGTCAAGTATAAATTATTAAATTAGTTTTAAATAATTTTAAATTATTTCGGTAAAAATCATTTTGCGATTGAAATTGTGTGACATATTAATTTTATGCGTTGAAAAACAAATTTTAGGAGCTCGCAGAATCACTCAAGATGAAAAAAATAAAATGAAAACATGAATACAAGTAGCTTGTCAGATCGAAGCTTGTTAGGTCTGCATTTTTGATTGATTTATCTGAGAAACGATCTCGAGAGACAGGTGAAGGAGAGACGCGGTTTATTTCGTATATTTACAAGACCTGTGGTCTGGAGATTTTTCTTCCTTTAAATCGGGACAAATTTCACGCCGTAAATTTGTCACGCGGTTCGGCTGGAATTACAGTTACACGGTGCGTGATTTGCGGATAGTTTACGCGAAAAGCGACGGTTTGCGGTCATCGTAGGGCTCGGTGTCGTCGCGTGAGCGCGGATCGTCGGCACGAGAAGAGACGACGAAGAACCGAAGAGGTCAGGCATGCGAGAAAGTGGGGCAGACGCGGAACGTTGACCTTTACGGTTACGGCGGATATATGTACGTTGGAAGAGCACGACCGGGTTGCACGACGGGGCCCCGTAATCTTTTGTCGCGATGCACCGATAGTCGGTATACCGATCGAACACGGGATAAACCAAATCATCTTTACAACTTAGCTAGGGGCTATTTCTTGATTGCACGGGATTGAATCTCAAAGTACGATTTGTTTCTCTTTTATACCAATCTCGAACTCGGCGTTATAATTTTACTTTAGTTACAGTAAATTTAATTCAATTACACTTGAATAATTCGACGTGCATCTGTGAATTTTTATTATCGTGAAAATATTCTCCTCGAGATTGAATCTCAAAGCGCGATTTGTTTCCCTTTTACTCCTGAACCTGACGTTGTAATTTTACTTTAGTTACACTGTATTAAATTTTACATTTGAATTATTTGTTCTGTAAATGTTTTTATCGTGCAAAAGTATTCTTTTTAATACTAAACGATTAATTCCTAGCGTGAAATAACAGATATAAATTTGTTTAATTGTATATAAGTTTAGAAGATTTATTCGTATTTTTTACACATAGCTGGTTATTGCAAGTAAACAGATAAACATTTATTTAAGATCATAGAACCACGTATATTTTGTAAAATTCAAATAAATAAATTTTTGAAAAAAGTAAAAAAATATTTGTATAAAATAAAAATGTATTTTTTTAATTTCCTCAAATATCGATAAAATTTAAAACCACTTCCTTGAAAGGAAAGGTTAAAACATTTTTCACTCAAGTTGATTAAGGCAATTGTTCCAATGCCACATATATCAATTGTTATCAACTGTCCCATATAGAATACCAAGAAGACAAATAAACAAAAAATTGAATAAGAAATTTAATCCTTTCTCGCCATTTAAAAGGGGCAGCCACGCCCAACCGTTAGATTCGCAGCGCCGTTATTAGCGCTGCGTATAACGTATAAGTCGCGTAAATGCGTGCATGCGTGACTACGAACGTAGGTATGCAGAGACACGCTTTATACGTTATCGCTATACAGTCAGACGCCACATATAAAGAGACCGATCGCGTGACGTATTATCGAATGAAGGATGCACGCGGTTCCATTTCGCTCGCGCTTCGTTTCGTTTTCCTCGTTAATATAACGGTCATCCTAGATTCCTCGTAGATTGGCCCATTCAATGTAATCGGCGTGTCGCATCAAAACTCTGTGCGAGCTCCTCGAGAATTCTTCCATCGAAAGTATCGGTGAATCCAAATCGGTACTTTAAAGGAAGAGATATCTTGCTAGATTTGCAAAATTAGCATTTTTTATATTTTTTGGCATAAAAAACTGGAACTTTTTTTTTATGTAAAACCGTAGAACAATGAAAAGTATTGGAACTGTAATTACTTTTTTATATTAATAAATAGAATGTCGCGCTAACTTCACAGATCCGTGTCCCGTATTTTCGAATCTTTGTTCTTTATCTCCCGAATTCTTTTTGGAATTGTTAAATTCTCAAAGAGGAACTGGGATTCTTATCGATTATATCAAAAGCCAGAGAATTCGGGCTTCAATAATATCGATTTTCCAAACGTAGAATTTAAGACATCATTGGTTCCTCGATTCTTCGAATTTGGAGGAATTTGTTAATCGTCACGTACTCATCGTTGGATCGTTTTTATGTTACAGAAATCGCGAAGGTGCGGGCGAGTCTTTTTCAAATCAGTGGAGTGAAAAAGGAGCCGCTCGTCTTGCCGGAACCCGAGGGCGACATTACGACGCTCACGGAGAAGGTCTATGTACCCGTTAAGGAACACCCAGACGTAAGTATCGCGAGAAACTGACGCATATGTAATATAAACTTGGCATGTTTCCCGGATTATCACAAGGCGCGATTCAAGGAATACGCTTGGAATACGAAAATGAGGAGATTCTTCAGAGAATTGAAGAGAGCGAATGTATTGATGCTTTTATGAGAGAATTTACATTAATCATTTAGTTTGTACATTCATTAGCTAATGGACGGCAATCGGGACGTTGCTGAAACTAAATATCTGTTATTTTGTAATAAGTGGACAGAACGAAATGAATTAAACGCTAGTTTGCGGGAGAAACCCGTCATTTTATATATGCAAAAGAAATATCTATTCATGAACTTTATTTAAAACGACAAATTCAAAATTTGACGTGACTCAAAGCTCGGTCCGATTCCACCAATGTAAAATTAATATAAATCTTAGTTTAATTTACTCTACATTGAAAGAAAAGATTGGCTGAATATCACTTTTTAATTAGAGCAGTCAATTAAAAATGCTATGCCATATTTTACCATCTAATTTACTGCAGCAGCTAATCTTTTAAACTACATTGATAGAAATGAAGTCGGCCGAATTGTGGAGTCCTTTATTATAATATCTATTTTTATATATATCTATATCATATTATATCTATATTTTATATTTATGTGTATGTGTGCGCGCGTGTTCAGTGAAAACAAAAGTTAAAGTTTAAGAATAAATTCCCGAGATCATATATATTTTAAGACAAAAATTCTACCAAAATGTCGAGTATACATATGTACTTTTTTAATTGTAAGCATTTAAAGTTAGCGAATCATATCGCCTAAAGTTCGCGCGCTTAGATGTGGTCGAATTTTCCATTGTATCACGTCTGAACGCGCGAACTTCAGACGGTATAATTCGATAACTTCAAGTGCTTAATAATTCAAATACTACTAAAGCGTCAACATTTTGGTATTAGAATTTTTGTCTCGAAATGATCTCAGGAATCTACCCTTAAGCGTTGTTACGGTTTTTATCGTACACCCTGTATATTTGTGCAGGGCCCATCGTGAATGGGTATCTAAATCTATCGAAAATGTTCTTGGAAGAGACGCGTTTCTCCGTCGTGCCGATGAAGGGTAATTTTCGCTACGGATTCGCGAGAGGAAGAGTATCGTTCGCCGATCTCGAGAGACGGGATCGAGCGATGTGCAGCATGCACTCAACATCGAACGCTGAATGTTATTTCTGTAACGCCCGAAATAGGGTTCGCACCGAAGAGACGACTCCCTTTCCTTCTCCACGCTCCGTTTCCTCGTCTCGCTCGCTCGTGCGTTTCTACCGGAGCGGTTGGCTCTCATTGAGACGTAATAATCGGGTCGTAAGCTTATTAACCTTTCGTGCGGTCTCTCGATCTCTTTTTTCGATCTTTTTCTTTTTTAGTTAAATCTTCTTGTTGGTATTGTATTTAATTTATTAAAAGATACGAGAGAGATATCCACTCGACGAGAACAGATGGGAAAAAGTATGTCGGTTTTCATGCGCGAGACACTGATTGATAATCGCAGGCATCGGCAATTATTAGCTTATTATGGATGGCCTCTTACGAATTATCGATCGATTCATCCATTATCGCGTCGTAGACGATCCACGGTGCGGGTCTTGCTTTGTGCGACCATCGACTTTATAATTATCTAATTATCGTGCACCGATTTCACGTTGATTGATAGTTCTCGATAATGTCTCGTGTTATCGGCGCATGATTCTTATCTTCACCGAGAAGGACACTTCCTTGAACGCACCAAGCATGGTAACTCGTTTTATCTATCGTGTCTGCATAAATTTGCATGAATCGTTAAAATTGTTATTATTTTGCGTTACGTATTTATTTGAGATTACACTAAATTATGTTTCTTTAGGATAAATAGGAGATGTCTGTAGGGTGTTAGAGTCTCTCTCCTTTATAGCTTTTCCTTCCACTGCACTTCAGCATTTAGACACGCCTCAATCACATATGTTAAAATCTCGGTATTTTTGAAAAAATAAAGAAATGGGCGAGCATTGGGCTAAAGAGACGCGGATGATTCATCGTCTAAACTTATCCGTCTTTATTTACCGGGATCCAACAATGAAACTGGATATCTCGTGGAACAAGTCTTTTTTCATATGATCGTACAAGCTAAATTTAGTGCTTGTGTATAAAACTAAATGGTATATATCTATGTATGAGAGTATTATATGCCTCTATATCTTTATCTATCCATATATACTATTATACTATTATATAATGTATAAATATGCGCTGATATATTTGTATACAAATCGTTCGAAAAGCGTTCTAAAAACGTTAATAAGACGATTAATAAGTGATCTCTGATTCTTCCATCCCTACATAATGTCCCTCTCATTCTCTTTGAATATTTTTTAGAATTAACCCTTCAGAGCTACTCTCATTATAACACACCTGAGCTTTTCTATTTTACATGTTACTTTTTTATTTATAAAGATACATACATATGTTTGTTATTGTTATATTCCTTGATGTCTGGCTTTTGGATTGAAAAAAATTTGTTATATATTCATTTTTATACGATATATTTCACAATTCTTACCCTGAAAGAAAAAATTGGCTACTGCAATAAATTAAATGGTAAAATATGGCATAACATTTTTAATTGGCTGCAACAATTTTTGGTTGCGTTAGTCTATACGATATAGGATTTTGATAAACTAACGCAACCAAAAATTGATTACTTCAACCAATTAAAAATGCTGCCACATTCAGCTAATCTTTTGTCGTGATAAAACGATGTAGAGTGGTTACCTCGAAGAGTTCCATTTTCTTTGATGAATGCATTGATTGCACGAAAGTGGGCAATAAATTTAACGAATTTTTCCATATAAATTACAGTTCAACTTTGTCGGGAGGATTCTGGGGCCACGAGGCATGACTGCAAAACAATTGGAACAAGAGACAGGATGCAAAATTATGGTGCGCGGGAAAGGATCGATGAGGGACAAGAAAAAGGTAAGAAAGGGCTGAAATTGATTGAACTTACATTTGTTGTTGAAAATATCTGTTGTGTGAAAGAAATGAAATTTCTTTGAGAAAAATTTTTTCTCAAAGTGAACTAATTTAGAAATTTTTATCGATGCGCGGTATTAAAATATCGCAGAGGAACATATGCGTATTATGCTCGTTAACGGGAACAAACGCCTGAAATAACGGTCATAAACGACGACAGCTGTTATAATAACAGTCGATTCTACTAATCATAGGTCTGTTCGTCTTAATCGCGCTTTATTACACTTCTCGTTTAAGAAGAATGTTGTGAGCGCAGATATGATTGAAGTAATATGAGTTATGGCTAAATAATATATTTTTTAATCGATATCAGATAATTAATACAGGCTGTAAATAAAGAACGCTTGCAATTAGTATTGGGGGATCTTCCCAGAGACAATGACAAGTGGGTTTGGAATTAACTATGAATGATTCATGTAGAGCATTAAACCAAGCGTCATATTTTTTTCAAGCTGCACGTGATACACGAGCGAAATGCTTTCTCGTAAGTATAAGTATACAATAGAAACGAACTCAGTGTACAATTTGATGTGAATTTGATGTGTATCTATTGCTTTCTCACGCTGATCAACGTAAACGTCAAGTTTCTTTATCAATCATTATCATTCATTTGGTTAACAAAAGCCCGCGATAAAAGTTTACATCGATACTTCGTTAATTAAAGAATTCGCCTGAAATGTAGGAACACATTAGTATATAGAGAGTGTGAAATTTATAATCGCGCGATTCTTCTCTATTCTATTCCTTTCTATTGCCAGAAAACCTCGCACGAATCTTTATATTATAATTTTTATATAGTATTTAATGTGCATTATTCAGATATTTATATATTTTTTTTAAATAGTACGAGTGATAATTTTATGTAAACTCTGTGACTTAAGTTCGTATGTGTACGTATGAGCAAATGCTTGTGTGCATATAACAAGTTGCGCGCCGTGTTGATTAACCAGGAGGAACAAAATCGGGGCAAGCCGAATTGGGAGCACCTGACGGACGAGTTACACGTGCTGCTCACTGTCGAGGACACCGAGAATCGTGCCACATTGAAGCTCGCCCGAGCTGTCGAGGAAGTCAAGAAGCTACTCGTGCCCGTGGTGAGAAAGTTCCAATTGTATACTCTTCCCCTCTTATATACGATAATAGCCTCGTGCACTAAGAATGCGAGACGAGAGATCTCACCGAGAGAGTTTCCCACACTTGTTCTTTTTTTTTTCTCTTTCCTCTCTAGTTTCGAATCAAAACCCGAAAACTCGCAGGAAACCTAAGAAAAAAAGATCAAAATTTCTCAACAAAATTACGAAAGAAATTATTGCACTGAGAAAAAATATATTATATATTAAATATTCGTTTGAATAAATCAACTAAATATCAACTAAATATTTACTTACGGCAAATAAATTTATTCAATAGAAAAAGATAGTTAAATCCAATTAATCCGTTCTTATATCAAATAAATATATCTTTTAGTTGGTATTATTCAAACAAATGATTTGTTAAAATTTAGTACATTTTTTTCAGTGTACGTTATTTTCTTTGCAAGTCGAAACGATGTATTATAATCGAGTTGTCGAAGCTCGAAACACACGCCACTTCCGAAGTGAGTGGCCTCGCGCACGTCGGCGTTTTCATATGTAAATGGAAAAGATCTGTACAACAATGTCGAGCTTCCCCCATCTATTCCTAGGATAATTATCGTTACACCTCCGGTGGTGGGTTCTGACGGTAATGTCGATTGTTAGCAGGCTGACGGCGAGGATGAGCTAAAGAAGAGGCAGCTAATGGAACTCGCCATTATCAATGGGACTTACCGGGACTCGAATACAAAGGTTGCCGCCGCGGCAGGTACCGTTCGTAGAACTTGTCTCATTATACGCGCTTAAAACCCGCTCGGGATCGTGTTCTCCGCGAGATCGGGAATTGCAGAGATTTACTTAAAGATGCGGTCGATTCACAAAATAGTCTTTCTAATGAGGGATCTGGTTGTAGTATTTTATTGCAATCACAACTTACCTCATCGCATTAAAATGTTGTATGACAGTTAATGATAACGATATGTAATGGACTAATGTTAATCGTCGTCATTAGTGACTAATCTAATGGAATAATAATTCTTGCAAAGTAACGCGTGTTTTCTAAATCCAGAATTTCCAGTATACCAATTGTCGGAAAAGTTCAGAAACGCGCTTGAATAAACAGTTGTAGATATTAATGGTTATGATTCTGGCTAGCCAAAAATAAGAAATTGTAAGCGAAGTATTCTTTGGCTAATATAAATTTGTTTCTTTTTCCGCAATGTATTTATTATTTTATTTTTTCGAAACTAGTTTAGTCAGTCGCTTCGGATTGCATTAGATAAGTGGAAGACCACAAGGAAGATTTCGGAGAAACTTGACTGTAGATAACGTTCAGATTATGCGTGATATCGAAATGAAGGTTGACTTGAATGAAGATGATGTGACAAAAAGATTTGAAGAAACTGATCTTTTTGTCTTCACATTGCTTTGATAAATTCCGTACATAATTTACTCAATAGAAAAATCTATTTCATATAATTTGTCAATAATATATTCTTATATTATGTGTATCTATTGTAATCCACTCGAATTTAAAGTTTCTTCTTGAAATTCTTTTTTCACTCCCGAATTTTTCCGACGCAGCGGTTGTTCCAAAATGATGTCATCATAACAGCCGCTAGGATTAGAGACCCTCTAATAAAAGTCTGGACATGAGAAAGCCACTTTTGATCCCACGTTTTTTAACAATTCTTGAAAGAGAATAAGAGAGAGAAATAGGTAGAACATAGAACAGAATGAAAAAGAGAAAGAAATAACAAACATTATCGCAATAAAAAAAATCATGAAAGTTAACACTGAATGGAAATTTTGTAAAAAAATATATGATTGTAAGATTAAATACAAACATTTCATATACATTTTTATATTAAACTACAGTAATCAAAATTGATTACCATAGTTTAATACACAAATGTTTGCGCAACAACGTTGAGTCTTTAGTACAAAATTAGCAACTTAATTCTAATTATCGCGCATACATTTATACATTAAATTACGTAATCAGTTTTCATTTAATATTTCAGTTTTATTTTTCGATTCATAAAGTATTCCGTTAGATATTAAAATGTACGTTGATAATTTTTATCTTTGAACATCATTCAAAAAGTTTCATGACATGACATTGTACTAATAAATTGTTTATCAGTCTGATATCTCCGCTGTGTTAATATGCGCAATAAATAGTAGTATTAATAAATAGTATTAATAAATAGTATTAATTTATTAATTTTATACTGAAAATGACCTCAACAAAGAGTCGAAACATTTGTATTCAATTTTAATCAATATATTCTTTTACACGCTTCCCATTCAGTCGGGTTTTCATATGCTTTATTGTGATAATTTATTTTATTTGGAGCCTTTATATTTATACATCTATTACTTTATGCATGTCCTTCTCTCTCGCCGATCTTATTAAAACTACTATCCTACTTGCAAAACTGCGGCTTCAGACTCTTATTAGAGGATCTCTAACTGGTACCAACCGCTTCGTTGGAAGCAAGAAACCAGCTATTCAGCACCATTTGATGTTGCAGCCTGCGACGAGGAGTGGCGGCGGGTAGCCGCCGCCGCGGCGGAGACGCAGCGCCTGTTACCGGGCTTAGCGACGCCGATGCGGACTCCAAGCGCGCCCCTGGGTGCGCCCCTGATCCTGTCGCCGCGGATATCAGTGCCGACGACTGCCGCGTCCTTGCTGAACGGCTCCGGGCCACCTGGCTCGCTCCTATCTGCCGGTGATCCTCACGGGCTCATCTACACGCCGTACGCGGATTACGCAAACTATGCCGCCCTGGCCGCATCGCCGTTGCTCACCGAGTACGCCACTGCTGATCATTCTGGTGGGTTATTTGCTCGTTGATCGCTCTCGTTGTCGTGTCCTCCCCGCGGCACGAGAGAAACGGAGGCGACCAAAACGAACGCCTCTCTTCTCTATGACACGAGAATAACGGAGCTTTTTATACGCGGAAATGTTCTTTTTTTTTTTTAATTTTTCAAGAGAGATGCGTGCGCTACAGGAAGGATGAAGCTGTGCGCTTTTATTATTTTTATTGATATTATTATTATTATTATTATTATATCGCATGCGGCACGGTCTCTGACGATTGGTGATTCTCTCTGTTCCTCGATGGTTCCAATAATGTTTGACCATTCTTTTTCCTGTTCTGTGAATCTCAAGAGATTAGACGAGGAATGAATGAGATTAACGAGAAGAAATTTTTTCCTTTTGAAAAAGCTGATCATTATATATTTTTTTATTGTTATCAATATTATACGTATAAATATTTTGACGAGGCTGTAAAAAGTTCGTCTAATCTCAGTGTCACAATTTTTATACATCACATGAATTCGAAAATTATTAATTATCACAGGAAAAAACTAAATTGAATGCAATGTTATATACTGACAGCGTTGAGCTTCAGGAAAAGTAAACATGTACAGAAAAAGTCACCAATCGATACGTAGAACGTATACAATCACGTAAATTTGTAAGACAATAATTGTTAATTACGAGCCGATTGCTCTTATAGTTGTTAATTATTATCCATGTTGCATCATCATAGTTATCATTTTTTATCGTCGCGTCATTACCTCCGTTATCATCGTCGGTCGTCGTCCTCGTCGTCCCGATCGTCATCACCGTCATTATCATCCTCATCGTCATCATCGTAGCGGTTAGCGAGTATTTTTTGCGAGAATAGATTAGGATTATAGAACACAACCGAAATCAGTCATTTACTAGTCGCGTCAGTTCAGATATTTTATAATTACGTAAAAGCCTTAGCGCGCGTGCGCGCGTGTAATGTATATGCACCGCCTTCGAAATAATTGTGTCACGAAGATTCAGGGTTATCAATAGCGATAGAAAAGAAATGGCAGTAATGCGAGCACAGAACGACTTAGACCGTGTTTTGGTGAGTTTTGATTCAGAAATTGTAGGTATAGGAGGAGATGGGGCAGACGCGTACGTACTCGTGTGTGCTGTATCGCGTGTGAATGTAGCTATACTAGTCTGAAAGCTTTTCTTTCTTTCTTTTTTTTTTACCGATATTGCGCCGTTCACCAGTAGCTACGTGTTTTGCCGCTTGGAATGCATTTTTTCTTCTCGAGCCGCCTTCAGGATAACTGCACGGTGCAATTTTTGCTCGGTAAAGGAGGATAAAAAATATTCTGTCCGGTTGAATTGAGATTTCCTCTATTTCCTTTTCTTTTGAAATATGTACTATATATTATGTACTATTCTTGAAAATTTGTAGATTAATCTGATAGATTTTTAAGAAACGTATACTGAAGAAAGCGTATAGTTGAAAATGGACGAACTAGATTAATCAGATTTTCGGTTTTCTCAAATAGAATTCTAGTAGAGTTAAAGAGAATTCTGATACGTTTATTTTCAACCAGAATTCCAATTATCCAACCAGACATTTTTCTCGGTACAGAAAGTGTCTTGAAAAAAAGAATGAATCTCTTATAACGTAAAAATGTAACTTTGACTATTCGAAATTGATAACGTGGAATTTAACAGACGAATGAATTATCTTTGTTTTACATTAATTTTTAGTGGAAAATATTGTTTGAAATTAGAATTCGCTCTTCAAACTGATACCTTCATATTTCCAAATACTGTCTTTGCAACTTATCAACCGGATACAGTACTTTTGTCTTCTCACAGATCGGGCAAATCTCTCACCGTGCAACATAGACGTAGATTAAGAAGATTACGTCCAAGAAGATTACGGGAGACAATCGCGTTAAACTTGGTCGCGTCGAGAATTACGGCGAAACGTTAGCCAGGAGCAGTCCCGCGGAGTCTCATCTTCTCAGAAAGGAAAGGAGAAAAAGAAAAACACGTTGAGATATTTCGGATACGCGAGAAATCCCATCCAGTCCTCCTCACCAGTATCCAAAGTACTTCCCGTCGAGTGGTACGAGTTTACTGACTCACTGACGCACACCATGTTCGATTCCGGGCTCGTTTAGAAGTCGAACCCGTCTAGGAATAATACTTCTGGACTGCGTGTTCTTCGTCGCGACACAGGGAAGATCGGCGCGTCTTTCTTCGATACAAAGGCATCCAGTTACCCGGTGAATGCTCGCGCATTCGCGCGTCTTTTAATGTAAACCGTAAAGGAATGTTCAATAAGTTATATATATATATATATATATACATATATATACATGTCATGTACGTATATCTCATGTTAGATTTTTTTTCTTACGATCGATGAGAGATCCGTAACGCGCTGTCGCGCATTACTCATTGCAGTAATCAAAGGCCATTCTTGTTGTAGCTATTTTTACAGATATATGTACGTGTGTACACACGTAAGTAAATAGATTTCAGAGAATATATTATATATTTATTGAAGTAGATGATATTAAAGTTGCATAATATAGGTTTTGTTTTTCCTTAAGCTTGTCTTACAGTTTGATTCGATAGCTTCAACGATGGGAAGAGACATGTATCGTCGTCAGGAACGTTTCTTTTCCTCGTCAAAGATAATAATCGATCGTTTTAATTAACTATCTATCAGGACGGTGATGGTACATTAATCGAATTTTAGCCCGTGTTCTCTTTTTATTTTCTTCCTTTTTTCATCTTGCGATCATATTTGTTACGCTTGACTTAAATTACACTTTTAACAACGTTCGCAACTACAAAGTACCACTAGAATCCCAATCGAATCCCTCGGGTTGACTTAACACGCTAACTAAACAACTAATAACTCGATCCGTCCGCCTCTCTTACGAAACTTACTCCACATTGCGTTTACTTATTTTCCCTTTTGTCTTCTCTTCCGCCTCCGGATGAAAACCATACCTCTAATTACGTAATTCTTTGATGACTCTAGCGAAGTAATTACGCGAAGCGCAGCGATAGTTATCTCAAAAGAAAAAAAATCAGGAAAAAAGAAGAGTACTCGATTGTGAGACTTCCGAAGCAATAATTTTACCTTTTTTTTTCCTTCTCTGTTCACGCGAGAAGATGTAATCGCTGAGTTTTCACAGCTTGAAATCGAATCGGTCGAGATGATTGCCGTCGATCATATGATAGCAATCGGATTAGCGATCAATTTAGCGAGGACTCATTGGTTAATAAACATAAATTGGATCTATCGCGCGACACGCCATACGATGGCTGGTGATAGGTAGCCTTATAATGTAATGTATGTAGGATTCTTTTTCTTTAGGCAGGCAATATATAGGTGGAGGGAGAATATTACCCAGGGACCAAACAATATTTTGAGGACTGATGGTTCTAGCGTTTACTTGTAGTGAATCCAGACGATACGGATAAGACTATGCGTTGAAAAAGTACTTCCTCTCTTTTTTTGTTTTCTTATCGCGCGTTTACGCCTCCCCTTCGCAAAAGAGCAAACAAAGGAGAATGATGATTTTAGCGCATGTATTTATACAGATTATCTTATAAACACGCAATACTCTTTTTGATGGCATAGTCTTTAAGTAATATTTAAATATTTAAATATGCAAATCGTGTGTGTGTGTACACACACACACACACACACACACACACACACACACACACACACACACACACACACATACACATATATATCATTATCGTACGAGCTATATATTATATATTATTTTGTACGTTTATTTAATTTTATTTTTATAAAGATTTAGCCGTTTATATAGATATATTTATACGAAGTTGAGGGCCGAAGCAACGGGTAATACTCATTGTTGTTAGGAACGAGTAGAATGGTTGGATACATTTTTAGCTTACATGACAAAGACTTACCTGATATCACTGACAAAAATCAAAAGCTGCGTGATGTTGAGCCGCGCGCGATAGAGCAAGAGAATAGTCCGGTGTCAACGATAACTTTTCTCAAGTCTGTGTTTAATAAAGTTTATATATATATATATAT